CTTTGGTATTTAAGAACCAAGACAACTTTATTTTTTTGTTTTTTAAATCAGAGAACTTTGTTTTATTAAAAGCATTTTAAGTCTATAATAACAAGTTTGTTTAGAATTAATTTTCAGTCTGTGATCTTAACAACCAGAGGTATTTCTCAGAGCAACGGTCAGTCAGGAGGAAGATAACAATTCCATTAAAGGTCTAATTTACTTTCTGTAGATGACAGAAATAAATTTACATGATTTACAGAAAGAAAAATACTACAGTCCAGAAAGCCACATTTATTCTGCAAAAATATTTCAGGATTCTGTGAAATAAGGAAGTAGTTAATGACTATTAAACACTCTTAAACACAGTAAAGATATATGAGGAGAAAAACAAGTATACATGTGTTCAGAACAACAGCTAGCAATAGGTTCAATTTATCTAAATGCAACAGTGACACCGATTTGCCATTAAATGGGAGTTAAGTACACTGTTGTCCAAGATAACAATCCACATTTTGCAGGCAAACAGAACGTGGAAAATGAGAAAACAAAAACTATTCTAATTTAGAAATTGCTTCAATAATAAAAAGGACTCTGTAAGTGACACTGAGGGAGGACTGCTCTATGCATTTCTCTATATCTGACTCACAAAAAACCTGTTTCCCTTAATTAAATATTTTCAAAAAGTTTAAGTTAGCCTTCATCTACTGTGTCACAGAAGGAAATTTTAACACTGTGGAAAAAGCCTCAAAAGGAAAACTTGAATGTTCCCTAGGATGGAGATTATTCTTTTTGGACTAAATTACAATTGCTCATTTGCTGACTGTGACTATCTAGAAACTACTTCCATGTAACTTAAAATTTAAGGGTAAAGACGTGGGTTTTATTGGCTTCTAGGCCTAAGTTCAGATTGCATATGTGTCCATTTTAGGATTCACAGCACAGAACACACAAGATTCTGGCAAGTGGGTGATCCAAGATGCTGAAGTGTTGGATTTCACACTATTTTCTTCACTAGCAACGTTATATCAAGGTGTTCCTACTGATTATCTCCACTCAAGTTACTCCAACTTCTGCACTATTATGCACGCTTCCTTCATCTGTGACAGTGCAGCTATAAACTTGACCAATAAAATGATCTGAGTTTAAAAGTAATGCCACTCTGAAAATATTTTGATTTCATTTTAGGTTTGGTGGTTTAGATTTTTTTAGCATGTCTAGATGTGAGATTCACTGAGTTGCTCCACAAACAATTAGCAAAAGCCAGTTGCAAGGAACTGGTTGTAGTGCAGGAGCTGGAACGATTGGTCACTGTCTGTGAGTGAGTTGGAAACTCCAGCTATGTTGCCAGCAAAGAAAATGTAAATGGAAGCACTCTCACTGCCTTTGAAAGGAGAGGAGGTGCTTCCACATGCTGTATTGGATGTCACTGGTGTTACTCACAGAAATATCAGGCAAAAGTGTAGAAACTTCCCACCACCTCAGTGTTTATGTCTGCATGTGTTGTCTCATGCTGAATCTGAGGAACTCTGCCGTCAGGGATCTCAGAGTTGCAGAAGTCTAATGAAAGCAAGCAAAAAGACTTACGGGTTTTCTGATCTGGCATTTGTTGGGACGAATGTCATATTAAAAGCAAGGATTTTCCCCAAAAATTAGTATCAAAAGGAATTGTGCATTCACATAATGACCAGACAGAATTCAGAGTAAGAGTTTTGCATTAACAAGCACATGGTGCAAAAGGCATCTCACTCTCACACCCCTTTCCCTGGTTATTCTTGGCTGGCTATAGGCCACTGTAGGCCACAAGGGAATTTTAAGATACAACAGTGCATTATTGAAAAGCACGGTGGGGCCAGACAGAACCCTCTGTTCTCTAAAACTAAGTGAACTCTCAGGTCTCCTAAAGGCAGTTTTCCTTGCAACCCAGGGTGCGTGTTCTGTTCTGCTCTCTGACACTAATGCAGTTTATGATGTGAAGCAAAATTAGCCTTCTCCTACCTCTTCACCTGTCTGCAATAAGAAAATAAAAATATGGAGCGTTCTGGCAAAGAGGATATTCTGTTGTGTGTTGTGCATCAGACCTTTTGTAATATCTCTACAAAAGTAGAGGTATTACAAAATACCTCCACTTTACAATTGGCCATATGTAGAATCATAGAATCATAGAAAGAATGCGTTGGGTTGGAAGGCACCTTTAAAGGTCATCTCGTCCAACCCCTTGCAGTAAGCAGGGACACCTTTAACTAGGTCTTAATTTATGAATCTTTGTCTTGTTTAAATAACTCAGACAATGGATTTGCCTATACCTTTTGTGAAAGGAGGTACAAAGTCTTAACACCTTAAAGTATTTATATTTTCTGATGTTGCATTTTTTTATTTTTAGTTGGATTCCTTGCAAGTTTGATACTTACAGGTAATTTGCTTTTCCTGGGTTTTATGGCATGCAATGACTACATTTTTATCATGTTTTGCCACTGCAAGGTACAATATATTTTGAATTGTTATTTTGAGAAAACAAAACACATTTAAAACATTTTTCTCTCTGAAAAATCAGTGCTTCCATTTTGAGATTTTTTTTCTTCCTCTGAATTTCTAAAACAAAGAGTGCCTTTCAATGTGAAAAAAGCAATTATTTTTCAACTAAATGGCATTTTTTCATATTATTTTAATCATATTTCAGGAAAGAAACTGCACTTGTTAATTTCAATTGTCTGCCTTTTGTTAGTCACTGCCTGTTTGCACAACCAGAAGAAAATTTGTTGAAAGGATTTGGGCTTACAGTAAGCCACAGAGTCATTAAATAATATCATTTTCATATTAAATGATATTGTGTTCAAAAAATGTGAACTTTAAGCAAGGATGGGTGGAGGGCAGATTTCTCCTTAAATCATTAAAATACAGTACAGAGTTCCAATACTTAATTTAAAGTGTTTTTAGAGAGCAGCTCTTTATTAATATTTTTCTTTGATGAATATGCAGGAGAGAAAACTGCTTTTAAAAGCAGTCTATCTGTTTCATAGAAGTATTCTATCTATAGGATTATTTTTCTGTCTTCCTTTTATTCCTTTCCCCTCTTTCATACATATTACCTTGCCTAACAATTGATTCACTCTTTCACAGTAGAAATACGGTAGTGGTCTGGAAGAAGACTGGTTAATCAGATAAAACTCACTCAGTGGGACACTTGAGAGATAGTACTATGTGTAAGACACAGCTGAATTTATTGTGGATGCACCTGAGTTACAGAAATGTGCAACTGACTACACTGCTATATTACATGGCCATAGCAAATTAAAAAACTTATAAGTACACACTTTCGGATTCCTTGGAATAGCAGTGTGACTTTTTAATATTAATATTAATACAGCTCTAATTAGGAAAAAGCTTTTATCATTGCTAACACTTAGACTCTTCACACGTTAAAGATGATACAAAAGGGTTTTTTAAAAATAAAAAATAAGCATTTTGCAATAAAATAAAGCAGAACCAACAACTAAATTGAGCTAGCAGATTCTAGAATGTGTTCCAGCATCAAAAATTATGACTTGATTTAAAAGACTATATATCAAACCCACATAAATATCCTTACCTAGCAGTCTCTTCCTAATGCTAAAAGCTGTGTAACAGCTAAAGCTTCCAGGCAATTATTTCCAAGCTAGATTCTGGTCTCAGCAAGACTTTTAAATCCTATCTGAGTAGCTGCTGTCATAAACCTGCAGTCTTTTCTAAAAAAAACGATTTCAGCTTAAAAAAAAAAAAAAAAGATATAAATATATTTGGGTGGTGTTGGAAACACCGAAATGACATGATTCCTCTCTTTACGCGTTTCCCTCTTAGAAAGAAAAAACTGTAGCATTTTCATAACCTAGCACAAGCGTCACTTAAAGAGTAACCATTCTGAATATTATATATTCCTTCTGACATTTTCAAAATCTACAGTAAGATAGAGATAATGACATCTATAATTAAACTTCAGTGAATAACTGAATGAAAAATCCACAATTCTGACCTTTCCAATGCTATTATTTCAGTATTATTAGGCTCCATGCTTCCTTTTCCGCTTTTCCAATGCTGTATCCAACTCTATTCAATGATTCTGTTTTGTTCAGTACTAGCATGGATGCTGAAGCATCTCAGGAATATAGGATGAAGGAGGGCAATGATACCAAAGCTGACCAGCAATAAAACAGCAGCCAGGTTTAACAGATATGAGCATCTATTAGTATGCATGTAGCATGCAGACTAAAGAGTCATAATACCTAACGAAAGATGGATGATCATTAGAAGAGTAGCTCCTCAAGGTATTGATCTAAAGAAACAGGAAATGATAACACAAAATATCTAAAAGACTAGGAGTTTCAAGAAAAGAATTTTTCTTTTTAGTGGTATTACACTTGGAGTCTTAGTGGTACTACACTTTTACTAAAGTAAGTTATTACCTATCATAATTTTTCTACAAAAATATGTTTGAATGTATAAAAACTTCAAAATTAATATTTTTAAATGTCAGAATTTTACATATGACGTTACTCAAGCTGAAGTTCCAATTTAAATAGATTTGTGTATATGCAAAGTAATAAGAATGATGATAGAAAAGATATCAACTAAATAAATATAAGACAGAATAAACAAAAGGACAACAAGACATGTAATTCCATAAGTTTCATGTTGACTTCTCCCGTCAATTTAGATGAACTGGTTTATACAGCAGTGGATTTACATAATAAACATATCAAATTAGGTAAGAGAATGTCACTTCACATTTCCAAATACCAAGAGACACATTGTAATAAGAAAAACACTAACCAGACAGTCTATTATTCTGGACTACTGCACATATCAGGTGTTGGAAGGCATAAGCCTTCTGGCCTGGCCTTACACCTTACAATTTACTCACATTTGCAATAACCTCCATGAAAGGTACTGCCTGTCATGTTTCATTTTTTAATTAGCAACTTGTCAAAAATCTGCACTATATAAATGCAATTTTAGGGATTTATTTCTTCCACATGTTCACCTACTTTTTATTGGGATAATGAGTTGAGGAACGACAGGAAGAATCTTGTTTCCACCATGTTCCAACATGTCATGGATTCCTTGACGAGCAAAAAATTCATACGGAAATGTCGTTTCACAAAGCCCATCAAAAAACAAAGGCAGGTAGAAGTGATAGTCCAGCTTTTCAATCTCTACCTGAAAATACAAAATAAACAAACAAATTGCAGTTTTTCAATACTAATACGATATGATCAGGCCAACATAATACATGTCATCTACACAGGTATGTTTAGGAAATAATGACTCATTTTGTATCACTGCAGAATACCATTAAGTCTCAAATATAGTTTATGGCCATATATATATATATCCCTCAGAAATATCAGACATAAAGAAAAGAATGAAAATGAATATGCTCCCCTATATTTTCACTTTTTGATAAGTCAGTACAAGATCCTGATATTCTTACTTCGTAAATTAGCTATAGGAATCAAATTAGCCATTCTAAGAATAACATTCTCTTTATTTCAGAAAAATCTGATCTTTACATCTTCACTTGGACACTCAAAAAACCAAATAAGAGAAAGAAACCTGTAACCAAAAAATACCCAGCATGGTACAAATACCAATATTTTTGCAGAATTTCCAACTTTATAGAATACTGACATAATTTTATTTCCTATTAATTTCAGGAACAGAATTCTAAAGAAATTCCATATGTCTCTGCTCTAAGAAACTGTAGAGAAATTAGGTACTTATTTCTAATAGGAATATCCAATCCTAAAAAAGTGTGTTAACTTTTCAAGTTACAGCCTTTGTGAGGGATTTTGCACTATACCCTATTTTTCTTCCCTTTTCCCTTCTGTACCCATCAGGACTCTGACAATATCTACACTCAAGATAGCCAGAGAGAACCAGAAGTTGTTTGATTTAAGCCTGTCAAAGCTCTGAATACATCTAGGAAGTGACTCAATAGCAAAACACTTTCCCTGAACAGAATACGATCCTCAAAATCACTTGGAGATCATCTCTTTAGGCATTCACTTTTATCTCTATAACATTGCTTAGCTGCTACCCTATTTTTCCAGTGAGATTATATTTTGGAATGGGGTTGATGCCTCCTCCTTCACACTGAACCAGTTTTGTCATATAGAATCATAGAATGGCCTAGGCTGGAAGGGACCTTAGAGATCATCTAGTCCAACCTCCCTGTCATGGGCAGGGACGCCTCTCAACTAGATCAAGTTGGACTCAAGGCTCCGTCCAACTTGGCCTGGAACACCTCCAGGGAGGGGGCAGCCATAACGTCTCTGGGCAATTTATTCCAAAGTCTTGCCGCCTTTGTACTGAAGAATTTCTTCCTAAGATCTAATTTAAATCTTTTCTCCTTCAACTTAAACCCATTTCCCCTTGTCCTATCAGTGGACACTCTTGTAAAAAGTCCCTCCCCAGCCTTCCTGTAGGTTCCCTTCAGGTATTGGAAGGCAACTATTAGGTACCCTCGAAGTCTTCATAGACCACGCTGAAGCTCCAAATGTCCTACAAAAATTTTGTCAGGTTAAACAAACAAATACCTAGACTCTAATTTGAGGCTAGCAATCACATTCTCACTTGAATTGTGGAAATAAAAACCAGAAATAAAACTATCAGGAATTGAACTTGGGGTTTACACTTCTCTGGTAAATCCCACAGTCAGCAAACAGCAGACATACATTTTCTGTGTGCAGCCATGAATCATTTTCCTCTCTGCTTGACTCTGAGAAAATCTGAATCCTGGTCTTGAGTATCTTAGCTATGACCTGACTGCTTCAATCTTTCATGTTGACACTGATCCATCCATGTTAAATAAAATTAATTGGAACAGATAATTGAAAGCAAGTCTTTACGTTTGCTGTGAGCATCTCACTTTTGGCAGATGTAGTGCTCATTACATACTTACATATGTAACTATACCAAGCAACCACATACGATGATCTTTACAACACAAGACTCAGAAGACATTTAAATTTCTAAATCAATGGGGGTATGTATTTCTTGGCGATATTCAGCATGCTACAGACAAAATTTTGAGATGGTAAAAGTCTGCCACCAAAGTCACTGAGAACAGAAGACAGCAGTATAGCAACTATTAACTTCTAGTGACAAGCCTAAGTTAGAGGCCATATTGTTCATTACAGAATGAAAACTGTATCAGGTAAGAAGTGGCCAGATGGTCAAAAAATCATTGACAAAAGTGGTGGCCTGTTCTCTGTCAAAAGATATTACTTTTATCTACCAACTTTGCCTTACAGAGACATATATATATTACACATATATTGGAATGATATATTAACTTTAAGATGATTTCTGAGTTTAAAAACAAATCCGATTTTTACACATGACAAAAGCTTTATCATGGGACCTTAAGTGCTAAACTAGTGGCATCTGTGACCAGAGATTTGGCATTTTCTACAGTGGTTAACAAAGCAATTACCAATGGCCTTTTTCCATATTTTTCTTTACTGAGGAATAATATGTACATAGAAAAGACCTACTTAAAGGCTTCATTTATATTCTTCTAAATCAGATCATTATTTAATAACTTATATACATAGTTGTTGGAATGGTATATGTTTCTGAAGCTCTACAAAGAGCTAAACTTCAAAAATGCAAATTGGTCTCTATTATGACAAAAATTCTCTACAAAAAATAGGTATGACAAGCTGTAGATCATAAAGCATTTGTGTGTACTCCTCAGTTCTCAATTACTTCCAAAGCCATAAGGGGTTGGCAACCAGCATAGCTCTGAAAAGGACTCTCTCTGATTTCTAACTTGTTTCTTGAAGTGTCAGCTGTCCAAGCATACATCCAGATTTTACTTAGCATTTTCTGTTCTATAATAACTCCCACAATATGGAAGCCAGAAATATTTTGCCTTACATTCTATGGTGTGAAAACCTTTCCTTCTGTGTTTACTATTTAGCTTTTAAAAGTGGCTATTATACAGCTGTTCAGAGAAAAATGTGCTATTTCTGCTTACGCCCACAAAATTCTTTTGTTTTTCACATCCACCCACAAGAAAACGCTGATTAAAACTCAAATACTTGGCAAAACTTTTCCACATCTGACAATAATGCTGCAACTATGGATTTTAAGAAGAAATCTCACAATAATTATTATGAACTTCTGCACGAGTGGTTTTTAAGTTGCGAGAACTAATTTTCAACAAATGGGCCAACTAATAAAAATTGATATATTACTATAAAATACGAACACTCAAAAAAATCAACTGTATTATAATCAGTAAAATCTTCTGTTTCATGACACTTCCATGCTACTTATGTATACTGCAAGCTCCTTAGGTGAAAAAGAAAAAACATACAGTTTATAATTGTTTTATCAACACGTATAACTAATTCACAAGGCAGAAGATACTAATAGCAGTTAATTTTTCATTTGTCCATCAGAAAAATCTCTTCCTATGAAATGGCTCATAATGAGAGGCAAGTCTGCAGAGCTAATGAAAACACAGATAAAGTGTCTAGGCTGTAAACTGTAAAAATAAGCTTCATGGCTAATGCACCTATTAGATGCAGAAAGCAAGCCATCTGAGAGAACTTAAGGTATAGAGTTCAATGACAAGGATGTCATTGGCTTTTCTTAAATAATCACATTTAAAGTTATCTAGTAATCTATAATAAAAGCTGAGTATTAGAAGATATTGTTTAAGATACATAAACAACTTAATTTTCCATCTCACTTCACATAATTGATTACATAATACTATTTGTGTTTGATACAATTATGTAAAAATTGAATTTATTCTCCATCTAACTGTTTATGTACTCATTTAACATCTTCATCTAAGGCATTAAAATCAGATAAGAAACTCTGGAATTGTTGATTTGATAAGGACAAAAAAGAGGTTTTGTAAGGACTGTAAAGATTTTTTAAGGATTCTTTGGTAAAATCATAGTTCCTTTTAAGATTTGTTTTCTGTTCTATACCAGCTATTTCACCTCTATTTTCTAAGTTAATGGAAAGAGAAAAGCAGAAACATTCTTGAATAGTCTTATTTTTTAACTTATTTTCTGATTTTTTCCCAAGATTTCTTTTAATCTTCTTTCAAGGATTCTTTTTTTCTCCCAATATCTCCTACCCATAGCCAAGCTGAAGCCTGTGCATTTCAGTTTTGGGTTTCTTGCTTTTAGTACATTTATCTCCTGATTCATAATAGGATGTTAGTTTGAATCTTCACTAGTATTTCATAGCCTTGATCAGATAAGGTTTTTAAAATGGTAACTTTTATTATGGCAGTTATGGTTCAAATCTTAATTCTGCTGTTGCATTTAGGTTCCTGCAAGTTTTCCCGTAAGAAATTAGTCTCTTTTTAGTCTGCTGTATTTCACCTTTCAATACATACTGCATAGGCTCATACTACAAAGATGGTTTATCAAAAGAGTTTTAATGCAAGTTATTACTTGTGTCCTATTAAAAACCAAATAAATAGGGATGTTGTACCTATATTTTGCATTCTGCAGTGAAATGATAAAATACTAATCTTAAAACAAGTGGAAGATTATCAAAACTCAGAGGAACAGATAATGTCAAGGGAGAAGCTAGATAAACACTCCAACAGTTATCTTTTACCTCAGCCAAACTGAATTTACAGCCTCTTAAATATATTTTGTAGATATTTAACTTCCACAAGAAGTTAAATATTAAAAGAAAATATTTGCCTCCCATGGATAAATTAAAAGAAGCAATAATAAAAATGTTACTGCACTAGCTATCTGAATTCATGTCTGAAATATCAGTTCATGCTAAAAAACCCCCATAAAACTAAAAAGCCACAAATATTAAATAGATAATAATTTTGAATTTACTACATTCCCTTTTACCTCCATGTTAGTTACAAGAGTAATGTTGTCATCAATAAAAACAGTTGAGAGAAGCTAGGGAGAAATACTGTTCTATATTTTATATAGCAAGATATAATTCAATTTCCCACAGTACTCTCTATATCTTGATGTCCTATTGCCCTTTAAAATGTAGTTAGAAACAGTAACATTTAAATCTGAAAACAGTGCACATATGTATGATATGAATAGGTTCCCAACTATGATGCACACCTTAAAGCAAATGTAGTTCTAAACTCTTTACTCCGTCTCATTTCAGAGGCATATAATCAATAATTATTTTCTGGCTATTATTCC